ATTCTCATAAGAATATATATATATATATATATATTTTAAATTTCTCTTAAATTGAATTGGATAATAAATTTTAATAGAAAATATAATAAATAAAATATATATTAAATTCTTTATTTTTATTCTTTAATTCCCATCCAAGCAGTTATCCAAACGAAGCAGCAAACCCAGAGTAAACTACCAATAGTCTAATAGTTAGACTTAATTTTTATTAAGTTCTATTGAAAATAAGTCTTTGTAAAATTTAAAAATAAATTTTTTGTGAAAATTTTTTACATACGTTGCTAAAAATTACAATTAGTGACTTTTTTTTTTGTCATGATTTTATAAATTGTCGCTAAAATTTACAATTAGTGATTTTTTTTATGACAAATTTTTTTTATAAGACCTATTAATAATAATCTACTTATTAAGACCTACACGTAAGACCTCCAATAATAACGGTAATAAGACCAAACTATAATAAATGAGCCAAAATAGTTCAATAAAGGGTAAAATAAATTAAAATAATTAATAAAATAAAATATCACATCTAACTCATAATTATTTTAATTTTCTTTTATAATTATCAAGTCAACTTAAAAAAAAAGTCAAATTAAATAGGAAACCTTTTTTGATAATATCCCATTTTTTAAAGTTTTATTCAATTTAACCAATATTATATATTTTTTTTTTTTTTTTACTATTCTATTAGGTTCTATTTGAGGTATGAAGACGAGAACACCATAACCTTTCTTGCCTCATTAATGTTGATTGTCATTATATTTTCATTCTAAAAAAATGCATTAACCACACACTATTATTTAATGTTATATATATTACACAAAAAAAATAAAAATAAATAAACATGGTTCTTTATTGATTGTCATTATGTTTTGTTAGTTCCCATGCATCTAAACGTTGACTGTACGTGATGACATGAATGTTCACATCAGAATCCTCTTTTTTTTAGATAGCATAAAAATATTTGTGATTTGTATGATTGAAGTTATCTCCTTTTTGATGTATTTGGTATAGCCAAAAAAATAATAATAATAAAATTTGTATTTGGTTTAGCAATTTCTTCTTTTGTGTACTATTTTAATGGTTTTTTTAATGGTTCTTTTGATTGAAATTATCTCCTTTTGTGATTTGTAAAAAAAAATTATAATTTAATTTTTTAATATGATTGAAGTTAGATAAATACAAATACTCACAAAGAGAAAAATGTGATTGTAATTAGTTCAACAGCTTTTGTTTTTTAATGTGATTGTAGTTAGTTTAATGATTCTTTTTTGGGCAAATTACGTATACACCCCTCCAGGTTTGACAAAATTACAGATACCCCCCTGAGGTTTGAGAAATTACGAATTCCCCCCTGAATGCTATATTTGCATAAGAAATTAGGGGGTAATTTGTTATGAAATATAAACCTCAGGGGGTAAATTGTTATGAAAATACAAACCTCAGGGGGCGGGATGTAATTTCCGAAACCTCAGAGGTATCTGTAATTTAACAAAACCTCGAGGGGTGTATATGTAATTTGCCCTAATTTTAAACTACTACTAAAAAAACAAAGAGGCTATCACGTTTTTGTCCGTAGATCACGAGATGCCACGTGGAAGCCTTGTTAGACGTGGATCCCACGCTGACGTGGAGACTTTTAGAGAGAGAGAGAGAGAGGGGCAAACAAAGATATAGAGCGAGAAACGAGGCGCGGGGAGGCCGTCCAAAAACTGCAGGCAAAAAAGAAAGAAGAGAGAGAAGAAGAAAGGAGAGAGAGAGAGAGAGCTGCTGTTTTTTCCCCATCTTCTCGGTTGCCTCTCCCCTAACCAAAGTCGTTTTTCGTTTATCACTTTCTCTCCTTTTTAGGGCAACAATTAACTTCAATTAATATAATTATAGAAAAATTCAGTTTACGAAAATATACAGACCAACAGTCTACAGATCAGCCCAAAAAAAAAAAAATAAAAAAAAACTTTGAAAAAAAAAAAATTCAAATTCAGAGTGTTTTGATACAAAAATTAAGACAAAAACACAGAAGGTCGCATGTGCGGTGCCTTTGGTCGCATGTGCGGTGCCTTTGGTCGCATGTGCGGTGCCTTTGGTCGCATGTGCGGTGCCTTTGGTCGCATGTGCGGTGCCTTTGGTCGCATGTGCGGTGCCTTTGGTCGCATGTGCGGTGCCTTTGGTCGCATGTGCGGTGCCTTTGGTCGCATGTGCGGTGCCTTTGGTCGCATGTGCGGTGCCTTTGGTCGCATGTGCGGTGCCTTTGGTCGCATGTGCGGTGCCTTTGGTCGCATGTGCGGTGCCTTTGGTCGCATGTGCGGTGCCTTTGGTCGCATGTGCGGTGCCTTTGGTCGCATGTGCGGTGCCTTTGGTCGCATGTGCGGTGCCTTTGGTCGCATGTGCGGTGCCTTTGGTCGCATGTGCGGTGCCTTTGGTCGCATGTGCGGTGCCTTTGGTCGCATGTGCGGTGCCTTTGGTCGCATGTGCGGTGCCT